TGTTGTGGGTGGTCCCTGATTGTTCAGGACTTGAGGTTACCTTTAGTGACATCAGCAATCATTGTTCAGTATGAGCTTCCTCATCTGACCATGCGGAGGCTCTGTGAAATTATCTCCACGTCTCCTTCTATTTCTGAAGGCATGTGGGCCCTTGGCTGGGCGCAGTGGCTCACACCTATAATTCCAGCACTTGGGAGGCCAAGGCAGGTGGATCACTTGAGGTCAGGAGTTCGAGACCAGCCTGGCCAACAAGGCAAAACCCTGTCTCTACTAAAAATACAAAAATTAGCCAGGTGAGGTGACAGGTGCTTGTAGTCCCAGCTGCTCAGGAGGTTGAGACACAAGAACTGCTTGAGTCCAGGAGGCAGAGGTTGCAGTGAACCAAGATCACATAACTGCACTCCAGCCTGAGTGACAGAGCGAGACTCTGTCTCACAAAAAAAGAAAAAAAAAAAAAAAAGGGACCCTTCATTGTAGATGTGGTTGCAGAAATTGCGACTGCAGCTGGGCTTGAATCTGAACGGATCCCAAGGCACATCCTGAAAGTAGAGATGTCAGAAGAAAAATCAAGCCTCAGGATCCATTTATGGTTGGTCACGTAGCTCTTTCTCTGCAAGCTGAAGTAGAAAATATGCCGTTGCTGTATTTCTGGTGATTGGTGATTTCTGAGTATTCTGATTAGAGTTCATTGAAGTATATGGAGTAAAACTCAACTATTTTAATACCGCATCACTGACACCCAAGAACAGACTTTGGGAGCAGCGAGCAGCCTCCCTCTGTCCTCACCCTCCTAAAATTGCAGCTGGCAACTTCCTGACCTCTTTCCCAGGGGGTTCCCACTTGACAGAGCCTGACTTCTCCTGGGGTGATTTCCTCTGGGGGATTGCAAGGCCCCACACTTGATGCTGCAGATAGAAAGCACCGCTGCCCTCCCTCCTTCCACACCTGTCTCTGTGGGTGCTGCTGCTAACACACATCTAGGCACACACCCATGCAGAGATCTCTTTCTGGGCTCCACGGTGACGTCTGTCCACTCAGGTCTTCCTGAACAACTAGAAAATGAATTCAATATGTGTCTGAGGAGCCATCCCCGCCTCCCAGACTCCATCCCCTGTCTGACTGCACCCGGTTGCTCTTTTCCCAGGATGGAACCACACCTCTGGCCATAGCCAAGCGCTTGGGTTACATTTCTGTCACCGACGTACTCAAGGTTGTCACAGATGAAACCAGTTTCGTGGTATGTCTGCCTCTCCCTCGCACCCACCCTAGACACGCTCAGCCTGGCTCACGGGCGTGCCCAGGGTTACTCTGGAAGTGGGGTGCACTCTGGGTCTCCAGGACGCCCGTCAGAGGCGCCTCAGCCAAGAGGTGGGAGGTTGTCCTCCTTCCAGTGGAGCTGTGCTGCCACCTAGTGGCATGAGGACTCAGGGCGGGACCAGCGTTCCCGGGCAGCAGCGGGGTGGATGGGTTTGGGAAAGATGGGAAACCAGGTTTCCCGGGTCCCATCCCAGGGCTTCCTGCCTAGCAGCTTCCAGGCTGAGCGTCTCCTCCGTCTGTTTTCTTCATTTGAGGCAAACCCTACAGGCGTGACCAGAGAACCTCTGGACTGGTGGAAAAGTGCACAGCTCTAGTTTGGGTTGAATTCTCTGCTTTTTCTCGTTGTAGTTAGTCAGTGATAAGCATCGGATGAGTTTCCCTGAGACGGTAGATGAGATCCTGGATGTCTCGGAAGATGAAGGTAAGGTTGGGGTAATGAACTCAGGCTAGTGGGGACAGAGGGGCTCCGGGCACCCTCTAAGGGGGCTTCCTGCTACCTGCCGGTTTCGCTCCCTTACAGCACGCCCAAGCACTACAGATGAACATTGAAACTGGGCAGACCTGCTTTTTATAACTGTTGTCTATTATCAAAAATACTACTCCATCAATACAATCTTAGGTGAAGGAATATTGACTAAATTTTAAATCCCATGAAGTTTCAAAAATACATGTATGTTTACATAGATTATGCCTGAGTATCAAATTGGAGCATAGTTTACTAAGATCAACTCTCAGTGCTGTGAGGAGCTGGAATAAAATTCTGCCTGGTGCTTTCTTTGTGCTTTGAACAAATACTAAGGGGATTATTCAAAATCTGTCAGAATGCCTTATACTAAGCTGCACTTCTGACCACCCAGTAGGTCAGTAGGTTTTGGGTTATTTCTGTGATTACGAAATTACTATAATCTGGCTGGGTGCCTGGGTTCACGCCTGTAATCCCAGAACTTTGGGCAGCCAAGGTTGGATGATTGCTTGAGGCTAGGAGTTCAAGGCCGACCTGGGCAACATAGGGAGACCCCCGTCTCTACAAAAAAATTAGAACTAAAAATTAGCGGGGTGTGGTGGTGCACATCGCTAGGCCCAGTTAGGAGGCTGAGATAGGAAGATTGCTTGAGTCCAAGAGCTTGAGGCCGCCATGAGCTGTAATCACCTTACTGCGCTCTAGCCTGGGTGACAGAGCAAGACCCTGTCTCTAAAAGAAAAAGAAAGAAATCACTATAGTCTCAGCTTCTATGAACTACAGAATGCTTCTAGCCTTTTTCCTACCCCCAACAAAACTTATTTCCTCACTGATTAGATGGGGATGTTGAATAGTAGGGTGGGCTGGATCAGCTCAGTGCTCCCTTCCATCCGGGTAATTCCGTGGTTGTATAACTTTGTCAACCAGAGAAGCAGAGCTCTCTGGTGTTCCTTTGGATAATATATATGCCTGTCACTTTAACTGCCTTCAATGTGGTCCTTCTTTCAACTCGGCTCTCCTTTGCTTTCCAGGAACTGCTCATATAACTATAATGGGTATGAAACGCTTTCTGTTTCCTGTGGTCTTTTTTCACCAGAGTGCATTTCACCCTAAGCAACCCAAACACTCACTAATCCATGCCTGCTTTCCATCTTCCTCTGACAGCTAATAATCTGGAGCCAGGAACTCGACTAAACCAGGGGATTCACACCCATGAGACCCATGCCCCAACGGGCAGCTCCCGCCCATCCATCTCTGTGTCTGTGCCCATGCTGCCGTGTTTGTGATCATAACTGCATGAGCTGTTGTTTTTCCATTCCGTCAGCTCCAGGTCACAAGCCAGGGCGCTCACTGCTGGGTGGCAATGCATGACCCCTAAAGGTCGATGCCTGGGGCTCCAGCTCCAGTTCAGGCTAGGAGAGAGAAACAAAGAGGCAGTCAGGGGTGCAGGCAGCCGATTCACCCATAGTTTGAACTTCTTCGTGATGGGCTTTGGAAGTAAGGAAGTTCTGGCTGCCATGGTTACAAAAAATTCTCCAGCCTTTGAAACGAGTGGGTCCAGTTCCACTGTAGTTTATTCTCCTGTCGGTGTGGAGTGGAAAAGAGCAGCAGCAGTTCCTTCTTTGGTGCTATGGCACACCAAAAAGAGCTGTTTTGAATTAGAACTAAGTGAAGAAAGTTCCTTCTGGCTGTGGCTTTGGCCTCCCGCAAAGCCTCAGGCATCTAAGATGTCAGGAGCCAGCTGCCCTGCTCTCTATCCCAGCGCTGGAGGACCAGGACTGGGCAAAGACATAGCTCCCAGTCTCCTTGCAGCATCGAGGCCTTCCGCATGCCTCAGGAGCAAGCCCCAAGAGGCGGAGCAGAAACAGCACTTTTTAAAAAGAAAGAGGGACTCTTCTCCCTCCACCCTGTCGCTCACTTGAGCTCTTGCTGTTTCAGGGGAGGAACTCATCGGCTCCAAGGCTGAGAGGCAGGATTCCAGGGATGTCGATGAAGAGAAGGAGCTGCTGGATTTTGTGCCGAAGCTAGACCAAGTGTGAGCAGCGCTCCCAAGAGGGTCCCCGGGGGGATGCTGAGGTGCAGCCCTGTGGCTCAGAGCAGGGATTCTAGAGGGAGGAAGAGCACAGCAGGCCAGGTGCTGGGTGCGCTGCCTGTGGAGAGATGGTTTGCACCTCAGGATGCGCTCGCTCTGCACCTGAGCACAGAGGCCTCCCTCACACCACGCTGCCTAGATGCCTCTCTGCTCCTCTCCCAGGCTCCCCTCATTCACAGCCTTATATCCACACCCCTTCTCCCTCTTATGCACCCTCAACTTCTCATCCAAAAGTTGAGGAAGATGGCTGGGCGCAGTGGCTCACACCTGTAATCCCAGCACTTCGGGAGATTGAGGAGGGTGTCGGGAGTTCACGACCAGCCTGGCCAACATAGTGAAACCCCGTCTCTACCAAAAATACAAAATAACAGCCGCCACGTTGGCATCATCTATATTCCCAGCTACTCAGGAGGCTGAGGCAGGGGAATCGCTTGAACCTGGGAGGCAGAGGTTGCAGTGATCTGAGATCACACTACTGCACTCCAGCCTGGGCAGCAAGAGCAAAGTTCCGTCTCAAAGAAAAATAAATTTGAAGATTCACATTAGAAACTATTGCCAGGCTAAGCTCAAACTCTGACCTCATCCCTCTGCCCCTGAGGGATGGGTGGGTACCAGCCCAGGGAGATCCGGGTCTGCCTGGACCACGCCTCTCATTCCCCACTGTGACTGCTGTGGGTTATCTCACTGTGTGTACATTGTATGCAGGGACATTTTGCAAAGCAATCTAATAGTGACCACTTTGTAGGAACGCAGAGCCCTAGGTGTTTTCTGAAAAAAACGGAAGCGTCCTGTGGCTTATAGAAAACAGGGAAGTAGAACAAGCAGGGAGTGAAACCACTGGGGGGCACTTAGTCCATTTCAATTTGCTGGACATCTGTTAGAAAGAAATACAGAGCTCTAACCCTGACCATAAGCAACTTACAGATTCATTTGGTGGGATCCAAGCGCCCAGGGAGTGGTCGTGTAGCAATGCAGAAAGATACATTGTTAGCCAGAGCGGGGCCTCTGTCAACAGGCTCTACAGGTGCAGAAAGGGGTGAGGAGTGTAGGCTGGAGACACTAGGGAGGACTTTACGGAGGAGGAGATGGTCCTTCCACCAGGTTGTGAAGGGCAGTTGGGCTCTGCAGTGGAAAGTGGGAGGGAGAGACTTGGAAACAAGAGGAAGAGAGGAAGCTGTGTGCACGTGTGGATGAGCTCTGTGATGTTCTGGTGTTCTCATCTCGCAGGGTGGAATCTCCCGCCATCCCCAGGATTCCCTGTGTCACGCCCGAGACGGTGGTGATCAGGTCCGAAGAGCCGGAGCAGGTGAGAAGTTCCATCTCTGTGGTTTTCCTGCGTGGAGAGCATGTCCTGGGGTACCCCAGGACAGTGATTGTTGAGGGATGGCCTGTATGTAGCACAATAGGAAATAAGAGCTCACACGCCACTCGCTGTCTAACCAGCATTCCATACTTGGACGCCCCACAATGGTGCAACATTGGTGGTGTTGGGTGGGCAGCGTCTGGGAGAGGTGGTCAGATGTGGCCCTTTCCTGTGGTGGCACAGTCCCTGGATGCAGCCCAGGACAGCAGCAGTGAGAAACCAGCTGGTCCTTGACCAGCATTCTGTCTTCAACTCTTGGCTTAGGGTAGAAACTCCAGCCAGCAGATGTTTACCAGATTCCTGCTGTGCGCCCAGACAGGCTCAGGCAAGAGGACTGGGTGCCTGCCTCCTGGGAGCCAGGGCCCAACCAGGAAGAGCGGACTTGGACACATGAACCCAGTTAGCACCGAACCGGGAGGGAGAGCGGGAGAGTGCTCCACTGTGTGGTGTGAGTGCTCACAGAGTGCAGAGCAGGGCGGACTGAGCCAGCCCTAAGGTGGCTGGGAGGATTCTTGGAGGAGGGGAGATGTGGGGAGTGGAGAGGATTAGATCAACAAGGGTGAGGGACAAGGATGTTCTGGACTGGGGGAAAAACAAACGTGAAGATCCAGAGAGCATGGAGGCTGGGTTCAGGCCCTGCTGGCCATGACAAGGAAGCCTGGCGTCCCTGTAGTTGCAGTGTTAACCTAAGGCAAGTCCCATTTCACAGGTGAGGAGCAGGAAGCCCCAAAGGGCAGGGGTCTGTTGTGTTCACCTTGTGGACTCCAGATGTCCACAGGGCAGGCAGCCTGCCCACAGCTAAGTGGTGGGGCGGTCACGGTGCTGGGATGCAGTATCCACCCTAGAGGAAGCCAGCTGGCTGAGGGCAGAGCTCCCGTGGGACAGAGCTGGAGAGAAGGGGACTGGGGACTGCAGCAAGTGCAGAGGGCCTGGGGCTGGGAGCCAGACTCAACAGCAAGGACCAGCTCCATCCGTTCCAAGGCTCTGTCCCAGGGTCTTGAGCCTTGGAAAGGCATGGAGAGGGGAGGAAGCTCATGCTTCCTTTCAGACTCAAGGACAGGCATGTCTGACAGGGCGGTGCCGTGAGAGCACTTTCTCTACGGGGCACCTGGTTTCTGGTGGCAAAGCTCTTCCAAGCCTCCACACCCTGGCACAGCATCCAGCTGGCCCTGGCGGAAGTGGGACAGGAGGACCTCTTCTCTCTCCTCAGGCATCTAAAGAGTTTGATGAGGACTCCCTCATCCCCAGCAGCCCAGCCACTGAGACCTCAGACAACATCAGCCCGGTGGCCAGCCCAGTGCACACAGGGTGAGTGGCAGGCGCAGGGCTCAGGGACTCCCTTCTAGGGGATGCAGAAGCCCAACATGCCCCCCAACCCCGCTCCTAGGTTTCTGGTGAGCTTCATGGTTGACGCCCGGGGTGGCTCCATGAGAGGAAGTCGCCACAACGGCCTGCGAGTGGTGATCCCGCCGCGGACGTGCGCAGCACCCACCCGCATCACCTGCCGCCTGGTCAAGCCCCAGAAGCTGAGCACGCCACCCCCACTGGCTGAGGAGGAGGGCCTGGCCAGCAGGATCATTGCTCTAGGGCCCACGGGGGCACAGTTCCTGAGGTGAGCATGCACAGGCAGTTCATGTCCTCACCTGTCCCTGTGCCATGGAGGCCACGCCACCTCCACTGTCCTGACGGGGAAACAGAACTGGGTGTCCCTCCCCCTTTCCTGGCATCCACAGCCCTGAGAGGGCTTACAACTCTCAGATCTTAGGTCGGGCCCAGTGGCTCATGCCTGTAATCTCAGTGCTTTGGAGGCTGAAGTGGGAGCATCCCTTGAGGCCAGGAGTTCGAGACCAGCCTGGGAAACAGCAAGACACCATTATTGTTAAAAAAAAAAAGCAAAACCCAAAACAACTGTTAAATCTTGTGTAACACTAGAGACAAGGCCACTCTGAGGCCCTGAGAGTCTGACCATTTATGCACTGAGAGTCCTGGGAAGGCGGCCTTCCAGCCATTTCCCCTGAGGACGAGGAGAGCACCCAGCTCCAGAGGGCTGTGCTCCACTCCCCTGAAGCAGCCTGGGCTCCCCCTGGAGCTTTGCTGCCCCCCAGGCACCATGGGTGTGATGTAGGGACAGGCCTGACCCAGAGGCCCTGCCTTCTACCTCTGTCCACCCGCTTGGTCCCCTCAGAGCGGTCACCACCATTTGCAAAGTAGCAAGTTTTCTCATTGACTCTTCTTAGTTCTCAAAGTGTCCCTCCAAAGGAAATGTGGGGGAACATTATGGCCAGTTGATAGATGAGGTCACCCATCTAGGGATGTCAGGTGGGTTTTTGGAATCAGGCCCAAGGACAGGATCCTTAGTTCATGGGAGCAGAGCCCCCATGAAGTGAGATGGCCCTGCCCTCACTGTCACTGTAGGCCTGGCGGGAGCAAGCAGGGCCATGGGAAGCCCTGCCCTCCCCCGCCCCCCACCCCCCACCTGCTGGTCTGGTCCACTTAGAGACCCGCCTGCAGGTGGGGCCTCCACATGGCTGCGGAAGCGCCTTCTCCCTCTGGGTGGGAGCCGGCAGCCCGATCTCTCCCTGTGGCCCGCCTACCGCACGTGAGCTCCTCCCCACCACCACTGTGTCCTCACCTCAGCCCTGTGATCGTGGAGATCCCGCACTTTGCCTCCCATGGCCGTGGAGACCGTGAGCTCGTGGTTCTGAGGAGCGAAAACGGCTCCGTGTGGAAGGAGCACAGGAGCCGCTATGGAGAAAGCTACCTGGATCAGATCCTCAACGGGATGGATGAAGGTAGGGGCAGGGGTTCCAGGGCTGGGTTTCCTCCTTCCGGAAGAGGGGTTTGAACTGTACCTTCAAGGTGGGCTTTCAGAGCCACCTGGAGTTTGGGAAGCCCCGGGAGGCTGGGAATGGCCCAGTGTGGTCAAGTCTTGTGTCTCCAGGACCTGAGAGGGGACACTCAGCCACCGTCTACAGCTGCATCTGCTCTGCTGGGCCTCTGGGCCTGGGCACTTCTTCTGGCCACTGTGCCGCCAGGCACCTCGGGAGGGTGTGGGCACTGGATCTTGGGGACATGGAGGTTCTGGGGCCCCTGCAAGGTCTGAACTTGTGCCCGATGTGACACACGGGGTGCTGGCCTGTGCGTGTGGTTCCAGAGCTGGGGAGCCTGGAGGAGCTGGAGAAGAAGAGGGTATGCCGAATCATCACCACTGACTTCCCGCTGTACTTCGTGATCATGTCACGGCTCTGCCAGGACTATGATACCATCGGCCCTGAAGGCGGCGCCCTGAAGAGCAAGCTGGTACCCCTGGTGCAGGCGACGTTCCCGGAGAACGCCGTCACCAAGAGAGTGAAGCTGGCTCTGCAGGTGATGCAGCCCTCCTTCCCGCCAGGTCCTGGGGTAGACTGACTCCAGGCGCCCAGGAAGGCCACCCTCTTTCCCCGGGACAGCCCCACGCTTTTGTCCAGTGCTACGAAATGCCACAGTAGAGAGCTGACCTTAAAGCTCACAGGAGAGTTGAGTGGGGAGGGTGAGGCAGAAGCTCCCTGATGAGTGGCAGAGCCCCTGGGAACCCATCAAGCCGCATGACCCGGTCTGTGCAGCATGAGGGAACCACATGACCCCCGGGAGCTGACCTTGATGCAAGCAAAGATGCACCAGCCCTGGGAGTGAGAGGCAGAGGAGAGGGGTAGAAAGAGCTCAGGAAGGCGGGCTACACGGTGTCGGTCCTGTGGTCCAACAGCTGGGGAGACCCCATGCACCAAAGGCCAATCTTGCCAGTTGTGGGGCTGCCTCCCATCTGACAAACCCCTCTCCTGCTTGGGCCTGATGCCTCTGTCTTCTCACAGGCACAGCCTGTCCCAGATGAGCTTGTCACCAAGCTCCTGGGCAACCAGGCCACATTCAGCCCCATTGTCACTGTGGAACCCCGGCGCCGGAAGTTCCACCGCCCCATTGGGCTTCGGATTCCGCTTCCTCCTTCCTGGACTGACAACCCGAGGGACAGCGGGGAGGGAGACACCACCAGCCTGCGCCTGCTCTGCAGCGTCATTGGTGAGAGGGGCCCCTGCCTCAGACTTCCAGAACACAGTAGGGGAGTGACAGAAGGCAAAGCCCGCAGTCCCCTCGGGCTTTTTGGCTTCTCCGGGAATGAGGTGTTCTTCCAAGAGAAGGAAGGATGATGCAACTACATAAAAGTCCATCCCCCACCTGATGGCTCATGCCTGTAATCCCAGCACTGGGAGGCCGAGGTGGGTGGATCACCTGAGGTCAGGAGCTCAAGACCAGCCTGACCAACATGGAGAAACCCTGTCTCTATTAAAAATACAAAAATTAGCTAGATGTGGTGGTACATTCCTGTAATCTCAGCTACTCCAGAGGCTGAGGGAGGAGAATTGCTTGAACCTGGGAGCTGAGATCACGCCATTGCCCTGCAGCCTGGGCAACAACTCCATCTCAAAAAAAAAAAAAAAATGTCCATGCCCCTGGGGAATAACCTTCCAAGCCCTAGGAGGAGGGCATGCAGGTCACTAGGAGGGTAGGAGGAGGAGCAGAGGGTGAGGATAGGTGTGCCAGGGCTATAGACCAGGTGAGCCTCACCCAGTCTTACCCTTGCACACCAGGGCCTTAGCATTTTAGTAAGCTCCATTCTTACGTCCTAGAGACTGTCCCCAGCCCCATTTCTGCCGGTATTGCAGGTGGAACAGACCAGGCCCAGTGGGAAGACATAACAGGAACCACCAAGCTTGTATATGCCAATGAGTGCGCCAACTTCACCACCAACGTCTCTGCCAGGTGAGACGAGGTCAGCCCAGCCCAGGATGTGTGGGCCATCCTCAGGCTCCCTGCTGCCATCTAGGCCTGAGGCCAGGGCTCCATCATTGTCCCCTCCACATGGAAGACTCTGTGGCCCTGTGGCATTGTAACTGTGGTGTGGCTCACTGCCTGTTCCCGTCTGGATGGAAAGGATGCTCTCTGTTGGGCACTTGGGAACACAGTCTAACTCACCCTGCTTTTCAGGTTTTGGCTGTCGGACTGTCCTCGGACCGCCGAGGCTGTGAACTTCGCCACCCTGCTGTACAAAGAGCTTACCGCAGTACCCTACATGGCCAAATTTGTCATCTTTGCCAAGATGAATGACCCCCGAGAGGGGCGCCTGCGCTGCTACTGCATGACAGATGACAAGGTGGATAAGACCCTTGAGCAGCATGAGAACTTCGTGGAGGTGGCCCGGAGCAGGGACATAGAGGTATGGGCTTGGGTCCTGCACCACCTACAGGACAAATCAGTGCCTGGTGCAGGCAGGCAGTCCTCCCTCTGTAGATGAGGGGCTCCATAGCTGTCTCTCTTTGAGACCCCTCTTGAGATGCATCTTAGAGAAGCTTCAGGAAAAGTGAGCGATGCCACCATGCATATCTCAGAGGTGACTGCAGGCTTTTGGTCTAGTGATCTGTGAAAAGAGTTGGGCATTTGCAGAAGGTCTTGTGCACCAGCGACTGTTAAAAGTGCTGGCCAGGCCGGGCGCAGTGGTTCTCGCCTGTTATCCCAGCACTTTAGGAGGCCGAGGCAGGTGGATCACTTGAGGTCATGAGTTCAAGACCAACCTGGCCAACGTGGTAAAACCCTGTCTCTACTGAAAATTAGCTGGGTGTGGTGGCTCACACCTGTAATCTCAGCTACTCGGGTGGCTGAGGCAGAAGAATCACTTGAACCTGGGAGGGAGAGGTTGCAATGAACCTCAGTTTTCTCAACTGTCAAATGGGTTAATGATCACTCCTCAATTGAAAGCTTTATCTACACAATAGGGGTCATTATTATAGGTGAGATCAAAGTAGAGCAAGTGCTTTCCAGCTCTTCTCATGACAAAGCATCTTTGGACAGACATAAAGCAGAACCTGGGTTTCAGTGTTAGAAACAGGATCTCGCTCTGTTGCCCAGACTGGAGTGTAGTGGTGCCGTGATCGCTCACTGCAGCCTCAAACTCCTGGCCTCCAGTGACCCTCCTGACTCTCACATAGCAGGGACTACAGGCACATGCCACCACACCTGGCTAATTTTTAAAAAAATTTTTTGTAAAGATGAGGGGTCTCCTTATGTTGCCCAGGCTGGTCTCAAACTCCTGACCTCAAGCAGTCCTCCCACTTTGGCCCCATAAAGTGGAGGGATTACAGGTGTTATCCACTATGCCCAACCCAGAACCGAGTTAGTGCTTGATAGCAATTCTCGTCAACATCTCAGGGGTATTTGAAGATCCCTACATATTATAAAATCCTCTGAAGTCAGGAAGCATGCCTCATTCATCACAATTTTGGAAATAAAGCCGTTCCCAAAACAAACAGTGGATTTCTCAGCACATACCCCCATGCCTCTTGGCTGTGGCGGGGTGTGTCTTGGAGAGGGAAGGGCCGAAGGTTGAAGGTGGGACATCTGGGCCCTTCCCCCTGACAAGCTGTATCTGCTTTTCCTCTCCTGCAGGTGTTGGAGGGAATGTCCCTGTTTGCAGAACTCTCCGGGAACCTGGTGCCCGTGAAGAAAGCTGCCCAGCAGCGGAGCTTCCACTTCCAGTCATTTCGGGAGAACCGTCTGGCCATACCTGTAAAGGTGCCGGCACCCTCTGGCTGGCCTCTCCTCTGGGTCTAGAAAGTTGGGGAGGCAGAATTCCGTAAACCAGACAGCCCAGTGGCCTATAAAAGGGCCCCTGAATCTTCCCTTTGTGTGATTGAGTTTAGGTGAGGGACAGCAGTCGAGAGCCAGGAGGGTCCCTGTCGTTTCTGCGTAAGGCGATGAAGTACGAGGACACCCAGCACATTCTCTGTCACCTCAACATCACCATGCCCCCCTGCACCAAGGTGAGCTGGCGTCTGGCTGGAGACGTGTTCCCCATAGGAGGTCCCCAGACAGACCCCAGGTGCAGCATTTCCAAGGGGCTTCTTCCTGGTGGAACTGCCTTTGAGTCCCCTGGAGCACACAGAGGGGCTGAGCTCTCCTCCACACGATCATTCTATGGCCTGGCAGGGAACCCTGCCCTGGCCCTCTCTGCAATGTGCAGTGCAGCTCTGGTCATATAACACGAGGAACAAATGTCAGTGTCAGATGACAAATGTCAGTGTCCCCTGACCCAAGGCCTCCGAGGTTTGCACCAAGGAGAGCTGCTAAGGTCTCCCAACCCCTGCCCGGCTTCTCTCAGGCTGCTTTTTCATCTGCCTGCTTATCTTCCCAGGGTGCTAGGCCCTCACAGAAGGGAAGCCTGGTGTCCTCAGCCACTGCAAACACCCAGGGTTTTGAGCTCAGCAAAGGAGTCTTGGCCACGTATGTTAATTTGTCGATACTTTAAGAGTTTCCCAGTCACCACCTCTGCTAGGGACTTTGGAGGGATCATAGTCTCCAGACCGTCTCTGTGGTTTCGTTGGTGGTGTTTGCTGCTGTTGTTTCAATCATTAGCCTTCCATGCTAGACTAGGAAAGAAGCAAGTTACATTCATAAGCCCATGGCTCAATCTCTCTTCTTCTTAGTGATGAGATGAGAGTGAACTAACTTCTCTTTCAAAAGAGGATTTCCAGGCTGGGCTCAGAGGCTCATGCCTGTAATCCCAGTGCTTTGGGAGGCTGGGGCAAGAGGACTGCTTGAGCCCAGGAGTTCAAGACCAGTCTAGGCAACACAGTGAGATCCTGCCTGAACGAAAAAATAAAAATAAAAAATTAGCCAAGCATGGTGGCATGTGCCTGTAGTCCTAGCTACTCGGGAGGCTGAGGCAGGAGGATCACTTGAGGCCAGGAGTTTGAGGCTGCAGTGAGCCATGATTGTGCCACTGCACTGCACTCCAACCTCAGAGACAGAGTGAGACCCTGGCTCTTGAAAAAAAAAAAAAGTATTTTCCTGCAGCCTTGGGCAGCGTCTGGATGCTTTGCCGCAGGGCTGTGATTCCACAGGGCTAAGGCCTTAGGGCAGTATGGAAATGGGTCTTTCAAGTGGAAAGAAATCCAAGAAGAAAAGCAATATTTTAAATTCGAACCCATCTCCACTGCATATTAACTGGGTGATCTTGGGCAAGGAACTTAGTCTCTATGCCTCAGTTTCCTTATTGATGAAATGGGAGTAATACAGTACCCACCTCCTAGGTTACATAAGGATCCACAGATGATGGGGTGATGTGTGATTAATAACGCATGTGCGCTTGGTCAACTTCCCCTCACTCCTGCTCCTCCCATCCCGTTACTCTGTGCTAAGTCCCTGAAGAAACGGACTGACTGTTTACCAGGACTGGGGTCATCCTTCCCTACCCCTGCAGCCTAGGAGCTCAGATCATCTTCTCTAGGAAGGTGGGGAGAGTCCAAACCCAAAGCAGCCTTTCTTCTTCTGCAGGGGAGTGGAGCTGAAGATAGGAGAAGGACCCTGACACCCCTGGCCCTGCGATACAGCATTCTCAGCGAGTCCACACCAGGTATAGCCTCTGGGTCATGGTGCGTGCTTGCTCCCTTCTGAGAAAGGTGGGTGTGAGCTCATCTCTCTGCAGCCAGGCAAGGGCTCGGCCCATTCCGAAAGCAGCTGCAGAGCTGTCTTGGGTCTTCCCGTGACCTTGCAGAGAGTCCAGACAATCACCCCAGTGTACACGGAAGCCACCTCCATCACAGGTTGTGTCCTCACACCTGTTGACTGTGTCCTGCCCTGGCTACTAAATGAAATCTAATGCTTCTCCTTAGGTTTTCTCAGTGGGACAGACCAGGCAGAGATGAAGATGGCTATTATTTCGGAGCACCTCGGTCTCAGCTGGGCAGGTGAGTGGGGAATTGGGGGCAGAAAAGCACTTTGTCCATCTCACCTACCCTCTTCCCCAGTAATGAGCAATGAATGAGGCCTTTCTAACCCTCCTTTTATCACCCACGTGTTATCTGACTTATGATTGTCTGGGCTGGGTCTGCTGTCCACATCACACCACTGGGTGCCCATGGAAGGGGGAGCCCCCCTGCCTCCATCTCTATCTGACTTTCCTTTCTAAGAAAGAGTCAACTTTTGACTTTACAGGAGATCTTGAAAATGAAGGAAAGAAAGGGCAAGTCCCAGCATATTTGCCTATGGTCTGTGGCTGTGGCTCGCAGAAGTGCTGCCAACCATCTGGGTAGATCTTATTTCAAGGGAGGCAGGTGGACAAACAAAGTCAAGGCTCGGAATGTGCTGTGCGCAGCCGCAGACCCTAGAACTGGATTCTCCCTGTGTAACCACTGCAGGTCCACTGCCCGATGTGAGTGGCATGTCAAGACACGCGGAGGCAGGGGTTTGCACCAGGGAAAGAGGCTTAGTCACAGGGCCGCCTGGCAGGTGATTGGTTGAAGAGTGCAGGGTGAAATCATGGACAGGGAGAAGAAGAAGCTACATTCTCGTGCTGATCCCTGTCTTCCAACTGGTTGCTGGAATTGGGGGTCTGAAAACCATCTTAAGGTATCCTTAAACAGAAGCCTAATGTCAGAGACCCTGTCCGTAGGAATAATGGGGGTGCGAGTGGTCAGTATCCAGCACTGTGTGGCTTTGAGCAGCAAAGAAGAGGACCCAAGTGCAGCTTGGTGGATGCCGAATTATAACTGTCTTCTGTCTAGAGCCCAGCTTGAAATTCTTGTTGATGCTGAGGAGATGGCTTCCCCTCCCCCTCCTTATTTTTTGTTAGCTTTTATATGAGTGGGCTCCCTTCATTCACTCGCCCTGCAGAACACTTTAGACACACTCAGAAACCTTGGCAGTAACTTGTGGAAGTTATTGCCAGAAGTTCAGAAGTTCAGACAGGGCTCATTCTTTAAACCGTGACTGCTGGATGCTCAGAAGGCATGCGTGTGCATACATGTGTGGGTGTATGTGTTGTGTGCGTGTTCTGATTCTCACCATCACTTTCTCCCCAGTCTTCTTCATCCTTAAAATTAGACTCTAATGCTGTTTTCCTTCTAAAGAAATAACAATAAAAATAATGGGGGATTTTGGCTAACAGTCTGCATTATTGCCTCGCATTTAGATGGGAACTGGTATTTTCATTTTAAATGTAAATAGCACCTCTCCCTGAAGAAGCATAAGCTCCAAAGTCCATTTCTGTTCTCATTGGCTCTCAGCAGCATGGCATGGCGTCCTGGTGTGGCACAGGCAGCGCTGGGCTGAGAATTGGCAGATGCAGCTCTCTCCTGGCTCAGGGACTCCCTGGCTCTGTGAACTTGCAGAAGTTGCTGACCTTGCCAAGAGGTCCTGTCATCTCATATTGGAAGTTATGAAAGGGAGAAAGGACCTTCATTCATTCATTCAGTACCTATTTATCAAGCACCCCTCCATTCTCCCTTTTTCTGAAGATAGGAAGGTATAGGTGCTGGCATTTCATGAGGAATTAATTTCTTGATAAGAAAGAACACCAGGTCCACAGGGAGGCTGCCCAACAGCTCCCTGTGCTCCCCGCTGGGTGCCCCCCTGCTGCAGTGCCCACCCAGCCTGTGTGCTGGAGGCCCCCTCGTGGCTCACACCTGCTGTTGATTCCTTGCTTGCAGAGCTGGCCCGGGAGCTGCAGTTCAGTGTGGAAGACATCAACAGGATCCGAGTGGAAAACCCCAACTCCCTGTTGGAGCAGAGCGTGGCCTTGCTGAACCTCTGGGTCATCCGTGAAGGCCAAAACGCAAAGAGTCAGTACCGTTCCACTGAGGAAACCTGTCCTAGGACCTACTCCCCACCAAACGAGTGGGGACTCCAAAGGCCAGTGTCATGAATGCAATTTTCTTCCTTCAAATTCCATTCATGACACTGGCCTTTGGAGTCAGTCTGTCTCTGTCTCACAGGCACGCAAAAACCACTCCCGTCAGGAGGTCTTCCAGGCAGTCCTGCCAGAAGGCATGAGCAGAGAAGCTTGGCCTCAGCCTTTCCACACCCTTGGAATAAGATTAAAATTGCAAGGCCTGGCACAGTGGCTCACTCCTGTAGTCCCCACACTTTGGGAGGCCAAGATGGGAGGATTGCTAGAGCCCAGGAGTTCGAGGCCAGACTGGGCAACATAGCCCTTTAAAAATTAGCCAGGTGTGGTGGCACATACCTATAGTCCCAGCTATTCTGGAGGCTGAGGCAGGAGGATCACTTGAGCCTAGGAGGCCAAGGCTGCAGTGAGCTATGATTGCATTGCTGCACTCCAGCCTGGGCAACAAGCAAAACCCTGAATGACCACGTGTGTACAAGGTGTATGACTCATCTTTGAGGTCTTCCTGTTGAATTTTCCAAGCAAATGAGTATTGTCCTCTCAGGACTTATTGGGGTCTGGGTGAGCCGGACCCCAGTCTGAAGCAGTTCTCATTCTCCCTGGAGCTTCCTCCAACCTGGAGGGAGCTTTGCCTCATTCTCATTTCAGCTCCTCCTCAACCAGATTCCCAGACTCAAAACTACTGAGCAGAAATTCAGATGATTTGTATCTCAAATCATCTGGCACGACCAAGAATTTCAAAAGGAGAGAATCTTAATCATTCTCATCCGTATTTTCTTGTAGGACTCCTCTTAGATTAGATTACCCCCCCAAAAAAAACACAGTCTTTATAGACTTTTAAGTTGGCCACTGTGGTGGGACAAAGTGGCTCAAACTGGTAATCCCAGCACTTTGGGAGGCCAAGGCAGGCGGATCACTTGAAGTTGGGAGTTGGAGACCAGTTTGGCCAACACGGTGAAACCCTGTCTCTACTAAAAATACAAAAAATTAGCCAGGCGTGATGGCACACGCCTGTAATCCCAGCTACTTGGGAGGCCGAGGCACAAGAATTGCTTGAACCCGGGAGGCAGAGGTTGCAGTGAGCTGAGATTGCGCCCCTGCACTCCAGCCTGGGTGATGGAGTGAGACCAATAAATAAAATAATTTTTTATTTTTATTTTTGTAACAGAGACCGATAAATAAAATGATTGCCCACTGTTGCATTTGGAAAAGATCTGTTAAAGAATAAAAAGTATTCTCCCAAGAGGAAGTATTTTTCGTTCATGAGACAACAGGGTGCCTCCACCTTCTGAAAAAAATCATCTCCTTTTCATCTCCTTTCTCCATCTTCGTCCTGGCCGAATTTTCTGAGCCAGTGTGATCCTCCCTCGCCACCACGGAGTAACACGCATCTCTCTTCTGTGCCCACAGTGGAGAATCTGTGCTCGGCTCTGCGGAGCATCGACCGTGGAGAGATCGTGAACATGCTGGAGGGCTCCGGCAGACAGAGCCGCAACCTGAAACCGGACCGGCGGCACGGGGACCGAGACTACTCGCTGTCACCCTCCCAGATGAATGGTGAGTGTCGCCTGGATCAGGCAGGGACCTAGTCGAGCCGGGGTCCTGCCCTACAGGCATCAGCACCAATAACCCCTTCCCACAACGCTTCCTCCCTCAAAGCCTGCTCTCCCTCCCATTGGAGAGAGGTCTGGTTTGTCAGCAATGAATTCCTCCTTGGAGGTGGGGACAGCAGAAGAGAGAGAAGTGAGGAGGAGAGAAAGATGGCCACTCCTGAGGAGGGGAGCATTGCCTGCTGCCTGCCTCTGCCGCCCTGCAGAACGGCCCCTGGGCCCTTGCCATCAGCAACTGTGTCCCCACAGGGTCTGGTGTATGGGAAGGAGCTGAGTCAGAGGTGGCCAGCCAGACCCTGCCCCTACACAGCTGCAGACTTTGCGGCACCTCTTTGCAAGGCATGGACCCTCTCTGGGGCATCAGTGTCCCCATCTGTAAAATGGTCAGTGGTTGGGAAGCAGAGGGCATGGAGATTCCCGGCCCCAGGTCTAGTGTCTAGAGCAGTTTAACTGGACGGTTTTACAAGTCCTGCTGAGGCCACTTCTGGGGACTGAGCACTTTGCTCTTCCTGGAGCCGGTCTCTCTGCTCTTTCTTGTCTCCCTTTTCTATTATCTCATCTCCTTCCATCACTCTTTGTTGATGTGATTCAGCATGGCAGGGATCCCCCCGTGAGATCCAGCCTGAGGAGAGGATGCCCAGGAGGCTGTGACCTCTGCCCCCAAGCCCCTGACATTCCTGGGCTGGGCCCCCTGCAACCGCTTCCTCGCCCACCTCCACTCTGGCCAGCAGGTGCATAAACAGCGAGGCTCTGCTGTCCGGCCAGGAGCTCTGGGATCTAGGCCCTTCCTTGCTGCCAACTCCCTGTGTGACTGAGCCCTCTCCCCTTCTGTAAAATCAGCAAGTTGGATTGGATCCCTAAAATTCCCTACAGACCTTGAAACAAAATTTCCATTTCTGTGACATGTCTTCCTCAGATGGCTGACGCACCACCCTGAATGCGGGCATGGTGATGTGTATGCTCCTCCAGCTCCTAGTCTTAAGGACCATCCCCGCCATGCCTGGGCTGGGGATGGACACCTGTGGCTGGGTGCACAGTGGGGGATGGGGGCGGTTGAGGGCTAGTTCCAGGTGGGCCTGGGCACAGAGCCCCTGCCAAGGGACCCTGTGCTTGCCGAGCCCCTCCTTGTGCCCTGCCCCAAGTCCTGTGTGTCCTGAAGCGTGCCATCTCGCGGCCTGGGAGCAGGGCCCATCTGCTGATCACGTCCTGTTGCCTCTCTTCTGCCTCTGACCTCATCTTGACCTCTGTGCTCACACTGTCACGCTGCCTGTCTCCATTGTCTCCACTGTCCCCACCTCGGCAGGCACAGAGCCAGCCACGTCCACATGCATGTTATGGCCCCCAGCCCTGTCCCCCCCGCCGCGCATCTCATGGCTGTGTCCTGGGTGTGCATGGGTGCGTGTGTGTGTGTGTGTGTGTCCATGTGGGTGCGTGCATGCGCGTGTGCACAGGTGTCGCCAGGAGGTGCTGCCTGCCCACTCCCCGGGTCCACCCCCATGGGGGATTCCAGCCTCCCCCTCAGGGGACCCCCCGGCCAGGGCTGGTGACAAAGCCCTTCCCCCTTCTCGTGTGTCGAGGCTTCTTTGACACCCAGCATGCACTTCCGGTCAAGTCAGATTTGCACACTTTCGATTTCCCATGCCCTGATTAAGCACCTACAGGACAACGAGCCACCAGGGCCACATGAGTGTGAATATTCACAGTTACAGACCTGGGCATCCATGAGCGTCTTCCGGGGCCACAGAACCCTGGCTCCCTCCAGGCCTTAAGTCATTCTTGCCCGAGTGGTTCTAAACCCCTGTGTGGGACCAGGCCTGTGCGCTCCATGTCTGCTGAAAGGGCTCTGTCTCAGGTCAGCCCATTTGGCATATATTTTTCAAGCCTCACCCACACACTAGGCACTGTGCTAGGCAGGAGAGAGAAACCTGTTCTCAACTAGACAAAACTAAACAAAACTAAATTATTCCTTTGAGAAGCTTTTCCATGATGCAAGGGAAGCGGGTGGCATTCGAGCACTTGCCGGAGATGAGGCATTGGGGAGGGGCGTTTCACAGCAGGGAGTGTGAAGAGGGCCTTCCTGGTACATTCACAGGATGGGGAGGTGGCTGGAGGCTGGGGCAGAGGGACAGAGGGCAACACGCAGCCCACCCGTAGACTGTCATGAGGACACTGGATTTGACGTGGAGTGAGCTGGAAAGCCATCAGAGGGCCAAAGAGTGGCATGATTGCACTTAAGTCTTCAAGGGAGTCTGCTCCGGAGTAGTTGATTTCAGATGGTCACAGTCATGCCCTGTGCTTCCTGGCTGCTCTGTGCAGCCTCAACAGCCCCAACGCACACTCCGGTGGGTCCCCGTAGACCCAGCTATGTGCCCTGCACACCCTCCCCCAGCCCCAGCAGACTTGTACCAACGCCCTGTTTGGTCCGGAATCAGCTTCTTTGTGTTTTTCCTGCCTTCCTCCCTGCTCCAGGAAGACCGGCCCTCATCTGAGTGCCTTTGGTCTGGAGAGAAGGTGACAGGACAGTCAGAGGTCTAAGCTGGGTGGGGGCACTACAGGCTCTGCGGCTTCTCCGGCTCTCCCCTGGGCAGGTCTCATGATGATCTGACCTGGTGCCCATCTAGCCCGCTGCCCCAATGCCCACAGTGGGACCTTGGCATCTCTGTGCATTTCCTGGTCACTCTGTGTGTCTGAGCTTCCTTCTAAGCCCCAGGACTCCAGGCAGTGATAGGCAGCTCTGTGAGCGTGACCGAAGTGTGTGGTGTCTGGGAATTAGAGGCCTGAGGCTGTCTCTCTTCCTTCCTAGCTCTGCTCACCACCAGCACCTGGATTGGCCAGAGCAGAGGGGCCCAGGCCAAAAGGCCAGTGTGCTTCTCCTGCCCAGGAGAGGACTGCCCAGGCCCCAGGAATAGATGTAAAGAAAGCATGGCCTATAGAGCCAAAATACAATAGCATCTTTCTGAAAATAAAACAGATTTCCCTTATGAGAGGAGACATGGTCAGCTCACACACATGTGAGCTCCATTTAGCCCAAAAAAATGGACACATACTAATGTCTGCTTGGAAATCCAATGTGTTTTATTTCCCTCAACTCTTCACAACTGCGGCTAGTGAAGTGTGGTCTTCTCTGGGGCGAGGCTGTCTGATGACCCCTGTTGTCCCATTTGCTGCTGACATTAAGCTAGCAGGACGATTTGGGTCAGCACAGAACCAGAGCAGTGACCTGGAGTGAGCAGGGACTACCTGAATATATGCAGCCCCAGCCAATATGTATGACTGCCTTTTACCCCATTTCTCCAACATGCAGCCCCAAGTGGGGGCCTCTAGACTGAGGGAGGGGCTGGTGGCTCCAGTGTGATGGGGCTGCATGAGACCCCCAGAGAGACAGACACTCTGGAACTCACCCTGGGGGATCCAGTGGACCTACCTGTGGTCTGGTTCACCCCAGATCTGTGAGCTGTTCCTCACCAGGATGTACTTGGGCTTCTATGAGTATCACTGCAGCTTCATAGAATCCCTGTGGCACCAGGAGTACACCTGCGGCCTTGGATCTCAGCCTGTGTGGCTGGCAGAGGGAGCAGCCAGGCATTCACCCTAAATACTGTTCCCAGGGAAGGAGCCCCAGGGTGAAGATAAGCAAGGTCTTCCTGCAGAGGTGGTACATGTGCTCTCCCATACATTTCTCTTTTTTTTTGAGATGGAATTTCACTCTTGTCACTCAGGCTGGAGTGCAGTGGTGCGATCTCAGCTCACTGCAACCTCTGCCTCCTGGGTTCAAGCTATTCTTCTGCCTTAGCCTCCCCAGTAGCCAGGACCATAGGCACCCATGACCACGCCCAGATAATTTTTGTATTTATAGTAGAGATGGGGTTTCACCATGTTGGCCAGGCTAGTCTCGAATTCCGTACCTCATGTGATCCACCTGCCTCAGCTTCCCAAAATGCTGGGATTACAGGCGTGAGCCACCACACCTGGCCCCATACATCTTTATTTGGCTGAAATTCCATTAAAGCGAATGCCATGGAAGTCTCAAGGTAGAAAAGTCACAAAAGGAACCCAAGCATGCATCTCGGGTGTTCTGTGGCTGCAAATCTTCCCTCTCCCAGTTCTCAAATCTCATCGCAATTCCAAGGAGTGACGGAATGTTCATCCAGCCAAATCCAAGGAGCCATGTCAGATGTGATGCGTGCCACTTCTGGCCAAGAGGGGGTAACAGGGACTGGATATACCCTCCTGCTTGAAACTACCGCAGACCAAAAAATGGACACAATATATGGAACAACAGTTTTCAAGACATTGGATATCAGATAGCAAAAGACACTGATCCACAAAGCATGGGAAATAAATGAGGTGGGTCCTACAGCTGTCTAGTTTACTGTTTTGAAAATCCAGGGAAACTAGGGGAGCTTGAGTTCTCAAGATGGAAGACCAGACAGAAGACAGTTGCACAGAGAGAACACTCTGGAGACCTGCAGAGGATCTCCCACAAGTTTCAGCTGAGTATTAGCCAGCTGTTCCAGATTGATCTCTCATAGCCTTTGTTCAGGGGACAAAGAAGTCTCTCTCTCAGAAATGGGGAAAAAGTAACCCCCAAAGCTCCAGTCCTGCCTAATAAATTTTGAAAGCAAAATGCAAAAGGATCAAACTACTTCTAAGTAACTTAAGTGCATAACAGAACAAAACTCAAGCCCACAGGAATCCTAAAACATCCAGCATTCCACAAGGTAAAATTCACAATATCCAGCATCTAAGTAAGTAACCAGACACACAAAGGGGCAGGGAAAACAAGATCCATAATGTGGAGAAAATGCAATCCCCTGAAACTGACCCAGAGTTGACAGAGAGTTAGAATTAGCAAAGGGCTGGGCTCCATGGCTCACACCTGTAATCCCAGCACTTTGGGAGGCCAAAGCAGGCGGATCACCTGAGGTCAGGAGTTCAAGATCAGCC